CCCCAAAACCCCAAAACCCCAAAACCCCAAAACCCCAAAACCCCTCGTGGTTCTGGTCTCCTTGAATAGTTTCTTAAATAATTTTGGATAAATAAGTTACAATAAATGTTACACTTTTTTTAAGATCAGCCTGAAAAAGCAACGTGTGCTTCAGATGTCTTAGTAACCGTAAAGCCTAGACTTCTCCATTCTGATTAAACCTCTCTTCTTAGACATCATAAAGTCTTGCTGGAGAGCAGCTCTCTTGTTTAGAATGGTACCGTTTGAAAAAGCACCCCGGGATTTTGAACCCTTTTTAGCTGTCTTACCCTGCATCAGTGGAGGAATGTTAACAACATCTTTAGAAGACCTATGAAGAAGATTAGGAATGTTAATAATTTATATCCTACCTTATGAGCCCGACTGGCTTATTAGTAGGATTCTGGCTATTAAGCCTATCTGATCTTTCATCCTTACTGGCACTTCTAATACTATTGTTACTGGTGTTCTTCAGTTCAGGCAACAGTTGCCTAGCAGTACTCTTCTGATAAGGACGGATGTTAGAATAACCTCTTCTTGCCGAATCCTGGGTTGAATTATCTCCGCCAGCAGATTCTTCAGCAAGTGCGTTAAAAGCTTTGTTAATTTTTGACTTTAAGGTCGACATGAGCTGGACGCAGGATTTTTTCTTGTTCTTCATACCAGGGACAACCCTGACCTTACTTTTTCTGATGATCTTTCTTTTTGACTCTAAAGCAGCATTTTTGCCATTCTTTTGAATTTTTTCATGTCTATTTTGGGTAATAAAATCTTGTAAGAATCTGTTCTTCGAAGAAACTTTATTATTCTTCTTGATATCAGTATTTCTTTTGACAGGCTCAAGAGTATGCTTCCTTCCTCTTGAAGCTCTTCTCCATGATTTCTTCTGTGCACTTTCCCATTTATTGAACATCGAAGTGAAATTGTCGTCATCCATGAATGGATAGCTGGCTTCAGCTTTCTGTTCGCTTTTCTGTTGGACTTCCTCTTTCTGATTTTTAAGAGCAATCTGGTCGGTTTCTAGTTCCACTATCTTTGGGTTACTATCTCTCTTTGAGCTGTGGTAGATTTTTCTTGAAAAATTTGTTGCATGGTTAGGATTACATGTATAAATAAGTTTGCTTTGCTGTTTCATTTTTAATTATTACTACTTCAACCTCATTCATTTTATATGGGGTTTTGGGGTTTTGGGGTTTTGGGGTTTTGGGG